TGTCCAAATGAGCACCGTCAACAGAACAGAAAACATATAAGCGAAAACGTTTCACCATGAAGATTGATCTGCACACACACACACACACACACACACACACACACACACACACACACACACACACACACACACACACACACANCACACACACACACACACACACACACACACACACACACACACACACACACACACACACACACACACAGACTGGTGTGACACGCCTTTTTCATGATCAAATACAGGGCCACAAACACAAACAACAATGCACGCACAAACCAGACCCATAACTGCTAATGAAAACACGATGCAAGCACACAGCCTGCAACCCTCCCATGAACTTTTAAGAGCCCGGGGATGATAAATGCCCGCCATGCACAATATGAATGCAAGCACAATGGAACATGAACCACCACCATACAAACGCAACCTGCCGCCATGCAGACATGCATTAAAAAAAAAAAAAAAAAAAAAAAAAAAACAAACAAACAAACAGAAATGCAATGAGAGTACTCAACCCAGACACAAACACAGTGCATACACAAGGAACAGACCCATAAGTGCAGATGAAAACAACATGCAAGCATACGGCCTGTGACCCTCCCATAAGTTTTTCAAAGCCTGGACATCACAAATGACCGTCATACACAATAAAGATGCAAGCTCTGCAGAACACGAACCACCAACATACAAGCATAACCTGCATGCCTGCAGCCATCCACGTGCTATGTCCAGCAGCAAATTTAAAACACCCGCACAGGCGCATGCACATCAACCTCTAATTTGCCTCTTGACCCTCAATTTTGCTCACAGGTGCCCAGCATTGTCAATAAATGAAAATGCCCCCTCCCTCCCCATTGAGAACAATGACCTAAACGGAAGAAGAGAAAAAAAATAGGTTGTTCCGGTGATGATTTACAATTTTACACACACACGCATACACACACACACACACACACACACACACACACACACACACACACACACACACAGACAAACAAACACCCATGGGATTGGTGTGGCATACACTTTTTTCATGATCGAATACACAACGCGAGTATAAATAACACATCACAGCAAAGTATATAAAAAAAAAAAAAAACAGCTCCATGGCTGGCAGACGAAAACATGCTGCAAGCATACTCCCTGCAACCCTCCCATGAGCTTTTTCAAGCCCATACATGACACACTTTTTTCGCGATCAAATACAGGACCAGAGTCTACATAACGCACCGCTTCTTACACAAACACAGTACATACACCAACACCAGACCCATGCCTGCGGACAAACAAACACATCATGCAAGAACACTGCCTACAACCCTCCCCTTTCAAAATTCACAGTGACTCCAGGGCACGACAAATGGTACAAATGCGAGCACATCGACAGAGCAGGAACCACCAAGTGGTAATCATCCACCTGTCATTTCCATAACAAACATAACAATCTGCAGGGTAAGCATCCACATGTCACTTTTCCAAAACAAACGTTTTTTTTTTTTTTTTTTTTTTTTTTAATAACAACCTGCAGCTAAACAACACTGGTGCTGGTGGTAATCCATGAGGAGCTTAGGCAGGGGTGAGGGGTGGTATATCCCCTTCTTCACTGAGGTAATCAATCAATGCCGCTTGCCCAAGCGGGCCTCCCAACCATAACGGGGACGAGCGTTGCGTGGGTAGAACTTGTATTCTTTTGACTTGCCAGTGGAAAAGGAACCGGACTGTGCTCCCCAGAACAGAAGGAGCTTTGTGGTTTGAAAAAAAAAAAAAAAAAAAAAAAAAAACACTGCATGAAACACTTCATGTACTTGGGTGTTTTATGCACCCAAGTTGTTTTATACTGCAAATTGTTATGCTTGTTTTGCAAATGACAGACGAATGATTACCATTTTTCATTTATTTTTTTGTCCATGTATGTACACAGTAGAATGGACAGGCGATGTGGTTTACTAATTATGACACTGTTAAAAGGGCCTCGCCACACCGCTCTCGGAACTACATTATTCAAGAGGTTGTGCATCGCCACACAGCCTCTCGAACGAAATCGGCCTCAGGAAAAAATGTCGAGACGTGTCAGTCTTTTGGATTTGAGAAGGCCTCTAGAAACCTATCTACCCCCCAGCCTGCAAATTTGTGTTTTCGAAAAGTGGCCGGCAGGCCGCAAATGACTTATTATATGTACCTAGAGCCCAGCGGAACTACCGAAAAGGAAAAAACAAATGGTGCTGAATACAGCATCGAAGGCGGTTAGATTCATGCAGCCAGGGCAGGGGGACGCTTGCGGAGCTGGCCCATCGGTGAATCGCTCCTCACCGATGGGCCAAGCGGATGCTGCTGAACTCGCAGAAAGGGGGTACAAAAAAAAGCAACCGAAAGCGGCACATTTCTGCGGAGAGGTCCGCTGCAGGTAAGAGCGTGTACCTTCCCTCACTTTTAGACTACGGCACGAAATGGTGCCATCCTGCAGCGTAAGGATTTCCGTCAGTCCAGCGGAAAGAGGAAGGCTTCTGCAAGGCACTCAAATCAGACTTCTGGAGGGCAATAGTGAAGGCCTGGCGTAAACTCCCTCCGGACATTCCAGCTGAACCCCAAACCAGGAAGGAAGTACCAGCACAGCATCTTTTCGAGAACCCAGAGATCCACAATCAACATGGATCCATGTTCGCAGCAGACGGTTCCAAGGCCACTGTTTGGCGTGGCTACGCAGAGGAGTGAGTAGACTGAGAGACCTTTGGTCCCAAGTTTCGGGGGCGTGGTAACCCCTCTTGCTCAGATCAAGGAACAACTTGCAGGTCTCCGACGAGTGGAAGACAATTAGAGGATTTTGCTGGAGTCCATCCCGCGAAAATGGCTGGATATTCTTGGCCCTGATGGAGTGGACCCACCAGGTACCTGGTACGTGGCGAAAGAGGGCGCAGACCCGAACGTGATCTGGAAGACCAAAGAGATCAGAACCCACCAGGTAACTTCCGAGTGGCTTCAAAAGGGTGGGAACGCTGGAAATGCGAAGAAGGTCAGTCGAATAGACTTTCCTTATTGGGAGAAGAGACCATTATGCTTTGGAGTAATCCCCCCGCAGGTCCGTGTGGCAGAACTGAAAGACAGCAGTAAACATGCAAGAGCGCTTACCTGGATTGGCCGGGCTCCGCTTCAAAAATTATGCATCGGCCCCCTGGCCTGGCGCTGGAGGCCCAAGGAAGAAGCAGCCGGTACGGAAACACAGTTCGAGAGACTCTGGGAAAACCTCACCCTCCTCCCCCGAAAAGTCAGGTGAATATTCTCTGGCTGCTGTCCATGCTAGGCAATCCAGCAGCAGTCCGGCTACTAGGCAAGGGAATCTTGGTAGAACTGCACTGCTCTTGCTGTAACTGGCCGTTCGAGTCTACCAGGCACCCATGATGGGAGTGTGCCCAGCCTCCAAGAGAATATGGAAGTGGTGGGAATCCCACAGGAAGGAAATGGGTCGAGGCAGGGTGGAATGGGACCAGCGTGTTGGGCATTACCACGCGTCCTCACTGACACCATCCCAGGGGCAAGAGGGTGGGGCGACGTGGCGCTGGTAGGGAGAGGCATCCCGTGCAAAGTCATATGGGCCGACAGGAACAGAGCAAGGTTTCAGAGGCGCCCCCTCTCGGATGTGGAGACACAAGGCGAGGATCAAACGCTCAACCTCGCAATCAAAGTCGATTGGAGAATGAATCAACCTCACAATCAGAGTCGATCGGAGGAGGAAAATGAGGTCTGGTAAAGGCATCCGAAAACAGAGAGGTTGGTTCTTGAGAACGTGGGCCCGTGGAGACCAGACCGGCTGGCTGCGGTCCTCGAGCGTCGCATCGAAGACTGCTAATCTCAAACTGGATTTTAGACTGTAATAAAAGCAAGGGAAGGAAGTAGTCTTTCGGCCTACTCATAGCAAATAGATACAGTTGCAGGACACTCGGTTGCTAGGCTGTACCAGGCGGCCACTTAGTCGCTCAGGCTTGTAGTTAGTCAGAGTGCCACCTTCAACAACCAGGACACTCGGTTGCCGAAGGTCGCAGTGGGCCAGCCAGTAGGAGAGTGTCAGTGGGAATGGACCCAGGCCCATGGGTCAAGGTCCGCTGGGCCCAGATAGTCCCAGTCATAGCAGTTAGCAATTAGCAGTCAGCAGCTGGTAGTAGATATCTGTAAGCAGTCAGCAGTTGGTAGATAGCTGTAAGCAGTCAGCAGTTATAGCAGCGAGCAGTCACCTACGGCCTACTCCCATGATCACTAGATTTCACCATTTCGCCCATCCGACAAGTACCCTCCAAGTTCAGTCAAACCACTTCGCAAGAGTCAAAAGAGTAGGTCAAAAAAAAAAAAAAAAAAAAAAAAAAAAGAGTCAAAAGAGTAGGTTCAAGGTGAGAGCAGCTCAACTTGAACCTAGGTAGGTAAGATTTCAATCTGGAAAGCAAGGACTTTGCGCAGGCTATACCTTCTTCCCCCGAATACAACGTGCGGTCATTATAGCTGTACTTAGACTGAAAGGTACCCCAGATACAGCTAGAATGACCTTCGGGAAGTAGGTTCAAGGTGAGAGCAGCTCAACAGCTTGAACATAGGTAGGTAAGATTTCAAGCTGGAAAGCCAGGACTTTGCGCAGGCTACCTTCTTCCCCCGAGTACAACGCACAGTCATTATAACTGTATTTAGACTGCACGGTACCCCAGATACAGCTATAATGACCTTGGTACGTTGTATTCGGGGGAAGACGGTAGTGTCTGTAAGCTAAGCTTGGGTGATGCTGTCAGATACCCAGGGTTGAATTGTGAGGCTCCCCGGCCTCGAACTGTTGAATTGCAATGAACTGAGGAGCTGTCTTGAGTTTAAAAAAAAAAAGAAGCAAGGCACGCAGATATTCGTTGGACGAACCTGATTAGGAGGGTCTCTGGTATAACAAATAAAAATTAAAAAAAAGGAGGGTGTCTGGTATATTGCACAATATACGACCAAAAAAAATACTCCGAGTGATCGATACTTCGTGGTGATGCGCGCTGAATAACTGCTCGATTGCCATCAGCGACCGGCCGGCCAATAATCCAATCACCATGCCCACAAATTTTCTCCTTCTTTCATCACTCAACTCACCCAAATCCCTACTTCAACAAACAACGTCACCCTCAAAAGATTGCATGGACATCATATGGAGCACAGCCTAGAGAACCTAACCTCCCATCCCCCTCCCCTTCCCCCCCCCCCCCCCCCCCTCCCCCCCGGCCACGGACTCCTAACCCTAACAGCCTGGAGGACCTTACCCCCTCCTCCTACCGGTAGTCCTAAGACCCGAGAGGAACTTACTTCGCCTCCCCCTCCCCCCCCTCCTCTTCCTTCCGCATCGTATTGAGCACGGCCTGGAGTCTAAATTCAATATATCGTGTTTTCAACAATGGTTCGGAGCCCAAGTAGGGCTTTATTTTTGCATCACGCCATGCCCAACCCCCAAAGGTGAAAAAGACAACGAAAAGAGAAACATACAACAGGAGGCAACAACCACCCTGTGGAATCACAAAATCAATCACAGACTTAACAACCACCCTGTGGAATCACAAAATCAATCACAGACTTGAGTCACAGACTACTACTACTACTACTACTACTACTACTACTACTACTACTACTAGATTACTAGTACTACTACTAATACTACTACTACCTTGAAGCCGTGGCTGGCAAGCGACGCAAGTCCAGGCCACGCCCACTCAAACTGACGAGCCCAACCCACCTCTCTCTATGATGGGTTTTTCCTTCATCGTGCTTCTCCATCACGTGTTCTACACGAAAACAACATGCAAACGCACTATAGCACACGTTGACAGCTCCTGTCGCCTGACTGTCCTGCGCGCCCCGCCTCTAGTGCGCCGTGGTTGCATTTTGCATCGTCGCTTCATCGACAACTTTAGATGAATGAATAGAGGTACATAGATTAACAGATAAGGGATGGATGGATGGATGGATGGATGGGTGGATGGATGGATAGGTGGGTGGGTGGGTGGATGGATGGATGGATGGATGGATGGATGGGTTCAATAAACACATATAGCCGGACAAACTGATGTGCCCTAACCGCCTTCCCCTCTCCCCCCCCCCCCACACACACCCAAACCTTCTCTTCCTAGTCCTTCGTCAAGGAAGGAGTAGCCGCCGTCATTTTTAAAACTGTTTGGCTTCTTACAGCATATGCTCGCAATAGCTTGCTTTGTCAATCTGTGTGCCGCCGACAGGCCGGGTGGGGGGTTGATTCGTTTTTCATTTCTGGAGGGTCCAAGTGTGTGCGAGTACCGAGTACGCCCTTCCGTCCTGACTCAAGAAGATTTGGGAAGGGAGTTCATGAAAGCCGTGTAGGCACTCTCGAGGTCGAACATAAGCTGCCTAGACTGCGACTCGTTGAGCTCATCGCTTGCCGCCATTTTACTTAGCCGCCCGAGCCATTCTTTCAACTTCACCTTGCCGTCAAAATCGGGCCCCAGGTTTGCAACACGATTCAGCGAGCCTAGCAGATCACAGAGAAGGGGATAGAGCTGATCGACGGCCACCATGTTCAGCTTAAGCGAATCCATGGCTGTGATGAAATGCTGAACGGTCTCTGCCACCGCGACAGTCGTGCTTCCTGACGACTCACAGGGCTTCCCGTGCTCCAACGTTGCTGGTATCCCCACCACCAGCAGACGATTCACAGCAGCAGGACAGTCCATTTTGTACGTGCGCATGAAATTCTCCACGTCCGGTACCGTGTCCTTCAATGAGGTTCTCAATGTCTTAAACTGCCCGATCAGCTTATTACAAGCGGGCTCGTACTGTTTGCCGTTAATAACATCACGTACGTATGCTTTTTCCAACTTTTCAGTCGTCTTGATGATAGCAAACAGGTCGGCAAAGCTTTCATACATCTCCCGCTCCTTCTTGTCGTTCCATAGACGGATCTCTCTAGAGTCTCCCCCCATAGCCGATCCTGCGGCGGAATACGACGCCGCCATCACTATGCAAGTGGTTCGACAGTGACCGCGCTAACCCGCAACCTACCCCACCTACCCCTCCTCTCTAGCTTACCCAAGATAGTCTTGCACACAGACCCAATCCCTCTCTCTCCTACCGACACAACCGTTGTCACCTCATCGCTCTACCCTGTCCTCCTTCTCCTCCTTTTCTTCTTTTACCCCTCCACCAAGTGCCCTTACCGTCCTCTTGCACAACCTTTCTCTCTTCTTCACAGACACCCTCCTTTCCTCCTCCTTCTCCTCCCCCTTCCGGCGAAATCCTCCCCTCTCCTCCCACACCAAACGACCCTCCTTCACCTCACACCACCCCTTCCTTGTCCTTCAACTGCTGCATCAGTCTTCGAGATCTTCTCCTCTGCTTCCTCTGAACGCAAACCCTCAGAGGCTCCCCCCCTCTCCTTTCCTCCTCTTCTCTCCGCGTGCAAAAGTCGTCGCCGTGCCACAGAACTCCCGCGCAAAACCCTTGTTCACGCCACCCTGATTGATACCAATCGACAAGCGCTTACGACAGAAGCGCTCCCGCTGTCACCGCCCACCTTCACACCAGGCCCTAGACCCTCGAAACCGCTGTTCCAATCTTGCACAATGCATTGCCCGTACAACTCTTTATTCAGCTCCAGTCCTCTCGAGCCTGTCAACGTGCTCCCAGATCTCGTAATTAAGGCCCATAAATGTCCGCTTCTTTCTACCTGTCATTCCTCTTTGACCTCTTTGAAAGGCCGCCTGGTGAGATCAGAGCAGGAGCAGATCACAAGACAATTACATGGAACAGAACGATGATCAGGACAGCACCGCATCAAGCATACCCTGAAAAACGCATGGATGTGGCTCAGGGTTAGTTGCAAATCGTGTGGCTTAGGATACACGCAAATCGATCACACGCATGAATCGTGCGCTTCAGATCGAAGCCTGAGAAAGAGTTAGTTCCAAAGGGGGATACGTTTGATCTATGCCACATGGATCGAACAAACGTGCGGGAGGGGGAGAGATGGAGGCGCGTGCGTAGTAGTCGGAGTAGAAGCCTACGGAGCGGGGTAGGAGTGTGATCATTGTGTAGTGTAGAGTAGCTCAATAGATTAGCGTCTCTCTCTCTCTCTCTCTCTCTCTCTCTCTCTCTCTCTCTCTCTCTCTCTCTCTCTCTCTCTCTCTCACACACACACA